TAGAGCGGATTTCGTATGAGTGGGAAACGGACGGTACTGTACTGTGACCGTAATCGTACTGTAACCAAATTCTAGTGCCCCATTGGTTCACCAAAATTGCGCAGGCCAGGTCCGGTAACTGTGCGGTAACCGTGCGGTAACGGTGTCCCACTCATACGAAATCCGCTCTATATTCGATACCATTAGAGATGGCATGCAGAATATATATTTAAAAAAGATAAAACGGCGCGCGTGTCTCTGTCCTCTGATATAAACAAGGTGAGAGTTGAGAAACACAAGAGAAGCAAGCTTAGAAACACGAGTGTACTTTTTTATAATTTTGTTGTTGTTGTTGTTGTTGTTGTTTTTTTTTGCGTTTTTCGAGCGAAAAAAAAACAAATTTTGCCGCTAAGCCGTGTCTCTGTCCTCTGATATAAACACGATCGTCAGCCAATCAGAGCGCGCTTTATACATCAAAAATTTTATAAATAAAATATGTGATGTATTAATTGTTAGTTTTCTTTATGATTATCCTCATCCAAAATACTAACTCAGTCAGGTTTGTGCCACACCATTCACGTCAAGAACATGGTGCGTAAGCTTGGGGAGGCTTATGGATTGTCACTGCTGTTAGACACTGAGGCCCACGAATATTATGGATCATACATTCAGGGTGGCGCTGGGTTCAAACTCATGGTCCATGATCCTGATATTTACCCAGCAATGGACAGATATGCTATTGATATTCCTACCGGATTTATAACGAATCTTAGGATTCGAAAAAAGAAGGTATACATTATGTCAATAAAAAAAATGATAATCAAAACGATCAAACACTCAAAGAAAATTGACCATTAGATAATCGTGTGACCGAGTTGCAGAATGAAAGGAAAGGTTGTATATGCTATCGCTCTCCATTGCTCACTTCTCGGAAACACTTGTTGAAATGTGTTGTTCAGTTATTCTAGAATTGCCCCACAAAAGTTGTCCTTCGTTTAGCAGCCATATATGGAAATCTTACCTTATTTGGAAGTACGATAGAAATGTTTTTTGCCGATTTTCTCGACTTTTAAATCTTGAAATGGTCTGAAACATGCAGATATTATAGCGAAAACACTTCT